CAACTTTCCATTAATTGAAACATTCAGGCAAGTCAATCTTTGCATTAGGCACAAAGTGCTTTGCTTAAAGAAAAAAAAAAGGAGTGGAAGCAGGCGAATTGGCAAAGTATTTGGAAGTTAAGAATTTTATTACCTTTTCAACCCATCTTGGCTGTACCCTTCCTGATTGCCAAGCGATTTTATTTCATTGTCTCCAGCTAAGAACCATGTAGCCAGCAGAGTCAACGATTGGCATATTGTGTGTTGTGATTTTTGTTATTAGTTTGTACTTTGTAGTGCTATTTAGGGCCAAACAACTGCCGCTTAAACCACACTATAAAACTACCTCTGCAAAACAAAAAGTGCTTAAGATAGGTCTCAATCAATTTAGAGGCTTGTTTTGCCAAGGTGGAGGATGTGCCTGGGAAAAGGAGACCCAAATCACAGTAGGATCTATGGCCTGTGTTTCTTTCCATAGAGTATTTTGAGGACTTCATTATTTAAGGAGAGGTAAATGGGCAGGAGGGAAATGGGGAAAGAGAAAAAAAAGGGGAGGAGAGGTAGTGAGAGATAAGGGGTCACATTCTTGTGAGGCTTTGGTTAGTGGCTCACTGAATCTACATATTACGTGTGAAGGGAGAGTCTAGAAGAACAGTCGATTATGCATTCATCTCCTGCTACTTGGTAAATCTGCATTTATCTTGGCTGGTAGAGGGATGATTTCTAATCTTGTCTTTGTCCTGGACTTGTGAAGATAAACTGTTAATTTATATTGTCAGGATGAGGGAGGCCACTTGGGGCGCTATGTGGCCTTCTATCTTGCAGCTATTTGGGAAGAAAAGGAAAGGTAGTTTTTTTGTGTGTTACTTGGTTTCCAAGCTTAACTTTTCCCTTTGGCTTAGTGAATTTGGTGTCATGACATTTGATTTTCCTTTCACTCCTTCATGGTCACTTCCACATTTGTAGGATGGGGCTAGTGGTTAATACTGTAGCCCTGTACCTAGAGGGTGTGCTGAATAATTAAGAGATATTGTGAGTTATCAGCAATCCTATTCAATGTTGTTCCCATTTTACAAATAAGGAAATTGTGGCTCAGAGAAGATAAATAGTTTACTTAAATAGTATGTATCAAGATCTAATCAGTAAACATTTATCTGCCTCTGTTCTGGGACACACACACACACACACACACACACAAACACACACACAAACACACACACACACCATATTTTTGAAATTCTGGGAATATGAAGATGAATGAGGCACAGTCTGGCTCAGAGTTCAGTACAACAAAACAAATCTCTTTAGATAGTTCAAGAACAAATGGATTTAATACAGGGAGTTAGTGTTTAAGGCCTCATTGGAAGAGCTTGGGCAGTGGAAGTTAAAGGAGGACTGCTGCTGAATCCTTGGTTTTGAGGCCACAACCTTGTGGAAGTGATTCAGAGTCAAGAAAATAGTGTCCGCCTTTGCTGCTGCTGTCCAAGAAGCCTCTCACTTCCTAAATGACACCTAGAAAGAGGAAGGTGGGGCTAGACATTACTGCAAACAATCTCTCAGCTAATAAGGTGCTTAGCAGCTGCCACTGAAACAAAAAGGTGACTGCTGCCTCCTCTTGGTCCCTTAAAACTTGCTCAGGTACATCTCACTGACAGAACTCTCCCATTCAGAATCATATGTCTAACCTTCCATTCCCTACCTTATAGGGTGGGGCATGATGTGAGTGGAAATGGATTACAGGCCAGGTACCAATAGACTGTACAGAACACATAACCTCTGCACTTAAGGAGCTCATGGTTTAATAGTGGAGGCAGACAAATAAAGAGAGTTTCAGGGTCATATGGCAAGTACAGTGATGGACCCAGGCTTTTGCTAGTGATGGCAGAGAGTGGGCTTTTATGGGTGAGAAGTGAGAGAAGGGATCAAAGAAAGCTTCCTGGAAATGGTGTTTTTTGAGCTAAGTCTTAAGGGATTAATTAGTAAAACCAGATTATACTCAAAGGGAGGGAAGGCCACAGTAGGCCTGTGGGAGAGAACAAAGTTAACAAGCCGTAAAGCAGCATGATGACCACAGAACTGAAGGGGATGCAGAAAAATGACATGCAGTTGGGCATGATTAGAAGCAAGGAAGATCACAATGAGGGAAAGAAAGGAATCAAGGACCATCTTCTTGTTTTGGACTTTGATGCATGAGAGGTGACATTAAGTCAGAATTTTAAGTTAAATCTACTGATTGAAAAGTCCAGGATTTCCCTGCTCTTTCACTCTGCCTCAACTGTGATTGGGTATTGATCAAGGACCTCTAAAGATGTGTCCAAGAAAGTCCATGACATTGTGTGCAAGTTATGTGTACATGCTTGCATATTCTTTTCTTTTTTTCAGGAGAGAAGAAGAAATATGACCTTCTTATGATTCTCAAAGTTTAAGAATCACTTGAGCCACTGAGTGTGGTAGCTCACACTTGTAATCCCAGTACTTTGGGTGGCCAAGGTGAGCGGATCACATGAGATCAGGTGTATAACACCACCCTGACCAACATGGTAAAACCCTGTCTCTACTAAAAATACGAAATTAGCTGGGTGTGGTGGCGATGCCTGTAATCCCAGCTACTCAGGAAACTGAGGCAGGAGAATTGCTTGAACCTGGGAAGTGAAAATTGCCGTGAGCCGAGATTGCGCCATTGCACTTCAGCCTGGGCAACAGAAGTGAAACTCTGTCTCAAAGAAAAAAAAAAAAAAAAAAAAAAAAAAATCACTTGAGCCAAGACTTTTGGCTTAAAAGCTGGTGTTCATTTAGTTGTGCTCTAGAGATTCCTTCAGATAGCACAGCAGGTTAACAATTTTTAAAGATCTTTTTGTCATAAAGCATCAAGATATTGGTTTCATCACAACAAAAATATTTCCAGGTGCATTGCTGAACTCTCAGGAATGTGAGACAAATCCTTCTAAGCCAAGCACACACAGAAATCTACAGGAGAAAAACAGGAGAGGAGGTGAACCCTGGGAGGCTCTGGAGGCAATTGTTAACTGCAGGAACCCAGAATTTTGGAGAATAGTGGTTTCCTGACAAAGACTAGGGTTGCATACATTGGGGGCAAGTGGGAGACTAGATGTGAGACCCTGCATTCTTATAGATGCTACACTCTTAGGGAAAGATTAAACTAGGAAAACCCCTGCAGGCCTGGAAACCTGTAAGGAAACCTCTCTATCACTCCCATATCCAGGTGAAATAATAATTAATAATAATAATAATAATAATAATAAGGTTGTCTTAGTCTCTTTATTATTTAGGTATATACTATCTTCTTTTTATTTATACAAATAAATAACTTTAAAACATACTATGCCTATATTTCTCTCAGATTCATTTTATTGTTATAATAACCTCTCGAACAAAAACCACGTATTTACAAAAGAAGTAAGATACAGACATAAAAAGTAAAAGTTTTATCTTAAGCTATTTTAATTATTTTTTGAACTATTATTGCTTTATAGGGTATGGTTCTCAGAAATAGAAGTTGCTTTGCAAAATAAAATTTGGTAGCTCTGCAAATCAATATGCAAATACTAGATTACTTCACTAATGCTCATAAATATCCAAAATAAAAACAAAATATTTTAATGGGATTATGCCATGCACGTTTTTGACCAGAGACTCTTATTGAAAAGAACATTTAAATTTTAAAAATATAATTATTACAGCTCCTTTACTTTTATTTTCTTCCTGCTTATACTCTAAATAGAATTCAGAAGAATGCCAAGTATTGTGATGTCACTTCAGAGACACTTCTAGTAGGTTAGTTTTTTTTTTTAAAGAAGACTTTTGTAGTCAGTTCAATGTGTAATTTTGAAATAGTAGCAAGAATCAGATCTGTTTATGTAGAATCATTAATATACTAAAGTGTAGTGTCAAATATTGCCATTCATTTGGCTTAAGGGTTCCCTACATATTTTGGAATGGGCTAGGGCTACATCTATTTAATTACGGATAGGAAGAGGAGGAGGCTGGCTTTACATTTTCTTCCTATGAGGTGAGATCAGAGAGCTTTGATTTTCATTTAACCTTGCAAAATGCATCCTTATGCTTCTTATAGTACAATTCCATGTTTTTATTTTGCTTAAGCATGTTACCTTTTTGTAGTTAAAATAAGAAAAGAGAATGTTTGTAACAAAGTTGATAAAATAATAAGATAAAGAGAATAAAGTGAGTTTTGTGTCTGACATTGCTTACACTATAGATGACTACCTAGGGATTAATTATTAATAATTAATAATCCCTATGTAGGAAAATATTAATAAATATTTTTTATTTAATAACATATTTTTATTTAAATACATTTAAATGTAAATGTAAATAATTTAAGTGAAATTCATTATTTGACAAATCTCTAATGACTTTTGTTTTTGTGTCTTGTCCTGTAATGACTATTAGCAGTTTACAGGCTTAAAATATGAACCTTCTAACAATGCTGAAATTCTTATCAATTACCTATTCTTGGGAAGGATTCACTTAATTATACATTATCTCAGTTACTGTATTAAAAATACAGTGTTGGCCGGGCGCGGTGGCTCAAGCCTGTAATCTCAGCACTTTGGGAGGCCGAGGCGGGTGGATCACGAGGTCAAGAGATCGAGACCATCCTGGTCAACATGGTGACACCCCGTCTCTACTAAAAATACAAAAAATTAGCTGGGCATGGTGGTGCGTGCCTGTAATCCCAGCTGCTCAGGAGGCTGAGGCAGGAGAATTGCCTGAACCCAGGAGGCGGAGGTTGCGGTGAGCCGAGATCGCGCCATTGCACTCCAGCCTGGGTAACATGAGTGAAACTCCGTCTCAAAAAAAAAAAAAAAAAAATACAGTGTTTAACATGGTGAGGTTCTTTCTTCTTTGCTCTCCTTAACTCTACAAGTAATCTCATCTAAGTATGTGAAAGAAGAAATTTGTATATCATATAACCTTTCCGAAGCCTTCCTGGTATATTAAAGCATATTTTAATTTTTTTTCCCTCCATGTTACTCTAGGATAGTTTCCCAGCGCGATTTGGAGGAATTCATTTTGTTAATCAACCATGGTATATCCATGCCCTGTACACCGTGATCCGGCCTTTCCTGAAGGAGAAAACTCGGAAAAGGGTAATAGTTTCTTTGTTTTTTAATCCTTTCTCATCCCTCATTCAACCAATTATGATGCGTAATGTGTACATAATGTTAGCTTTAATCAAGTATACTACATTGTATATAAATCAACATAGAAGACATTTAAAAAATCTTCCAGATCTTGTGGTTATGAACAGTATATCTGTGATTGAAGCGTTTAAAAGCTAGCTCTCCTCATTGCTCACAAAAGAGGAGGATATTTTAGCACATTTATTATATGCTGAAGCCTCAATTTAAAAGCCCCCAAAAATCTTTTATGCCATGTTACTATAATGTTATTGATGAACTTACTTTGAAGTAAAGTATAAATAAAAGTTATAATTTTATATGCTGATAAGTGGGTGGTATTTCACAGTATGTACAGCAATGAATGTAGTGACACCTGTGGTATCTAATATAATTTTTTGCAATGATTATTATGATCGGTCACACATTTTGAAAAGAAGCTAATGTGTGGAAATTTTAATACTTCTTTAAATTACATTTTACTTGCAGTGTCTTCAATTTCACTTTCATCTAACAATGAGGATAGTCAAAGTGCATAAAACAAAATAATTTTTGTGAGATTGAGATAATTTATATAAAATACTTAATACAATGTAGAGCACAGTTAAATACTGAACACATATTTTTATTAAAATACATCTTGCTGTACATTTCACTAATTTTTGCAACAGCTTTGAAAAGTAAATTCAGTAAGCATTATCTCCTGTTTTAGAGCTGAAGAAGCTAAGTCTTGGAATGGATAAGTAACCTGCTTACTCACATACAGAGAAGAAAAGTTGCAGAGCTAATATACAATCCCGAATATTTCAGCCCCATGTATAGAGCTATTTTTATCTCCTGGTGCTGTTCCCAGTTTTCAAGTGATTAGTTCCACAGCAAAATACTTTCCTCTAAATCTATGTGGAAGATAAGTTTCCATTTTTCTCAATGACCTAGAAGGCACTTCAAGTAGAAGCTTCCTTGTAGTATGAAAGTGCAATAATTACACGTCCATATCAAGCATTAATAAACAAAGGATTTACTGTAAATGAATCTGTACTTGTGAAAATGAAATAATTACATGTCCATATCAAGCATTAGTGAACAGAGGATTTACTGTAAATGAATTTGTTGAAAATGTTTTAGTAGTTTAGGAGGAAGAATTGTGTAAACAATTATAATATAGAGTAAAAATTGTTTCTACCACCAAATATCAAACTAATTTATATTTTAGAATTCGGAAAGTGTTTTGAAGTGCCTCACAAGTGCTATTTCAAGCTTTGCTTTTTGAAAGGATGATCAAGTGATCCAAAAAACCTTCAGGGGCTTCTAATACAAATTATACTGGTGGATGCTTATGCAGTATTCACTCAATGCCGCATGCTGTTCTCAGTGTTTTGCATACATTAACTCATTTGGTACTTACACCACCACTTTGGAGTATATTTTGTTATGTTTCTCTTTTTATGGATGGAAAAATGAGCCTTGGAAGGTTAACCAATTTGCTGTGAATCACAGCTAGCAGATAGTAGAGTAGAGCTGGTTTTGTGAATATGAGAAAAAGAGTTTCAGGCAGAAGGAATAGCAAAGACAAATGTCCTTAGGTAGAAACACGCCTAGTGTATTCACAAACAGCAAGAAGGCAGAAAAGTTGGAGCTGAATGAGCTATGGGAGATGATGGCAGGGATGGGGTAGGTGGTAGAGGATGGGATAGGAGGGACTGTGTTGTGCCAGATCACATACAGACTCATACACCATTGCTGGGATCTGATCTTTCAGTCAGAGTAAAATTTGAAGCCCTTGAAGGTCATTGAATACAGGGGTTACTTGTACTGAAATGATTTTTAACATGCTTATGCTCTGTTGAAAACTACTGAAGAGGATCAAGTCTAGAAAACAAGGAGTGCACTGCGTTTTGGGGTTTTGTAATTGAATTTGACAGTTTTGACAACCTAAAGCCATGCATTGCTAGCATTATTCCAGATGGAAGTAAGTTATCTGAACTTTACCATTTTAATTAAAATTATATGACTTAGAAATTTTCGTATAAGAAAATAATTATATGTTTAAATACTTTACATTTCTATTTATATAATCAATACACAGTACAAAGCTATTAAATTTCTTCACTGATACTCCAAGTGACTCAGCATCACAATATTACTCACACACCTTATACTTCAGATGCTGTAAGTTTATGTTCTGAAAAGCTGGTAAAAGAAAAAACTGAAGAAGCAGTTGTGAATCTTTTCCTACAAATTCAGGTGTGCAAGACTCATCTGCTGCTTCATTTTCTTAAATTAACTTAAATTTGACTTTAAGTCTCCAACTCACTGGGCTGCTGGGAATATCAGCCTTAGCAGAGGCATCCTTTTTCCTCAAAAGCTCATCAGTATCTGGAGTTTTTCATGCAGAGCCAAACTTCCCATCTGTCATGGCCACTTTTGATGTCCTCAGTGTTCCAACCAATATTAATTCCTTCAACTATGGTCTCCTTCTGCTCCCAAGTTGTCTGTGATAAAAAGATATCTTTGCTAGAGTTAAAACCCATCGAAACTCACTACCTTAGTGTATTCTTCAGTAAGTCACTGGTTGTGGTCCTGCTACTTAAATGTTGATGGAAAACAGGTTTTCCTACTAATTGGCACAAATTTCTTCCTCTTAGTCAATATGGCCAATTTTGTCTTCTACAACTTGGTGAAGCTCAAAAGTCTTTCACCTTTCTACTCCAGATCACCTAACATAATCTCTTTAATGGCACAATGTAGAAAAGTAAAATAAAAAATGGAAGCATTATGTGGGCCAATTTTTAGAAATGTAGGGTATTCAGAAACAGGAACCAACAAGGATCAGACTTCTTTCATGAAATGGAGGAAGAAAAAAAATATAAGGAGAGAAAAATAGTAAAATGTTAATAAATGATGTTATTACATAGAACTAGTGAAAACAAAGTAGAAACTTAACAGTTGGGCAAATGCAATGCATCTTTACTGCCTAGTTCAGAGATACAATTCACATGTAAGAGTTCTGAAAGAGCATTGTCATATAATATGCATTTTTTCAAATATATCCCGATTGGATTTGGGATACATTTTGAGGATAGCATCAAAGAGATTTACTGACAACTTAGATGATGAGAGGAGTAAAAGATGAGTAAAATCTTGGCTTTGGAGAAATAATAGCATCACATTTAATGAATTGCCAAGATAGTATATGCAGGATTTAAGTCAGGAAACTATACGATACGATAGAAGATTAGGAGTGCTGTCAAGAAACATGATATGTAGAAAATGAATAGTGCTTTCGAGGTTGGGCAGGGTTGCAGTATTAAATAGGCTTACCAAGGAAGGCCTTCCTGACAAAGGGACTTTTAAGAAGAGACTTGCAGGATGTAGGTCAACAAGCCATGAGGACATTTGGGAGTAGAAATCTCCAGACAGAAGAAATATCCATTACAAATGTTCCGAGGCAAGTGCACAGTAGGAGGTGCGTTCAGAGTAGTTCTTATAGGCTTATATAAGAAAAGCAAACAAAACAAAACAAAACAAAAAAAACCTTATAAGTTTATGCTAGGAGAAAGAAGTCAATGGGAATTGTGAGCAGAAAGATATGACCTGACTTATATTTTCACATGGTCATTCTGGCTACCCTGTTGAGTATAGTGTAGGTAGAAGAGTGGCTGCAGGGAAAACAGTTAGGAGGCTTGTGCACGAGCGCAGCTGAACGGACAGTAGCTGTGTTAGGGGTGTAGGAGTAGAGCTAGTTAGAATGATTGCATTCCGGATACATTTTGAAGAGAGCACCAACAAGATTTACTGACACCTTAGATAATAAGAGGAGTAAAGGATGAGTCGAAAGTTTTGGTCTGAGAAAGTGATGTCGGAGAAAGATGTTAACGACATTAACTGACGTTGGAGGTAGGGAGGAGCATATTTGGGGTTGGGGAAGATTGTGAGTCCAATATTGAACACGTTAAATTTGCAGTGGCCAATGAATATTTAAGTGACTATTTTACGTGGAGAGCGGAAATACAATTATGGAGGTCAAAAAAGAGGCCTGGATTCAAGACACGTATTTCTAGTGCAGGGATACTATTTTAAAGTCATTGACTGAATAAAATGAACTGAATGGAATCACCAATGAGTAAGTATAGTTAAAGAAGAGAATGTATCTAAAAACCAGCAGTTCTCCAATTAAGATATTAGGGCAATCACCAAAAGAGACTGCAAAGAAGTATCTAGGAGGGTAGGAGAAACTCAGAGATGCAAGAAGAAAATGTTTCAATGAACAGAGTCATCTATTATATTCATTGCTACTGAGGGTTCAAGGTGTATAAGGACTGGAAATTGGGTACTGAAACTAATAGTGAGAAGGACCTGGACAAAAGTTGTTTTCATTCAGTGATAAGAGACAAAGCCAGACTAGATTAGATTTAGGAAAAATGGGGAGAGAGTATTTGCACTATTAATATAGACAACTCCTTGGGTGAATTTTGCTATAAAGAGGAGAGAAATAGGATAACAACTGGATATGGAAATAGGGCCAAGAGAGGTTTTCTGTGTCTGTGTAGGGGGAGTGGAGTGAGGATGTCCTTTCTTTGATGGGAAAGATCTAGCAGAGAGAGGAAATCTGAGGATGAGAGAGAGATAGAACTGTTAAGAAATACAACCGAGTAGGGGAGAGAGGATGAATTCTAGTGTGCAGGTGGAGAGATTACCCTTTGTAGGATTTATCTGTTCATTGTACTAGCAGTGGAGGCAAAATACATAGACACAGATGCTGGTGGGTGGGTTGATGTCACCTGGTTGTCCTATTTTCTTAGTGAAAGTGGAAGCAAGGCCAAAGCGGAAAATGATGTAGAAGGAGGCAACAGAGTCTTAGGGAAGAGAGAAGAAGTACTGTGCTAGGATTACATTCACTGCTCCAAGGATTTATTACCATGACTCTTGTGTGAGTTGAAGATTTCTTATGTGAACAATTCCATCTGATAAAAGTTATATATCTGATGAAATAAGGATTGCATATGCCAGAAGTTAACTTTCATAGGAAAATTATTTTCATTTCTTCTTATAAAAAGAACACAGGGGTGCACATGTGTTTTCCTGGGTATAAATACTGGCTGTTGTGCACTCAGACAGGAGAGGCAAGGTGTAAAGTTTGCAATTAACCTTGTGTACTTTGGGGGAGACGGCGCCTTTCACCTCCTGTGGGTCTCATGTCATATACTTCAGACAGCCATTTGCTCTGCCTATTTTGGCTAGTGACCTGCTGTTATCTGCTTTTCCTCTTCTATGATTTGTTGAAAATGCTTATTAATTGGTAACTACCGTCTTCTGATTTTATTCGATATTTTAGAGTAATTGTTCTTTGTTTTCTTATATATTTACTTCAGTGGATTCTAAAGGTACAGAGAGCAAATATGAATGTGTCAACTTATTCCTCTTGAACTGAAAAATGAAATTATTTTTGTTGCTTATAAGCTATAATGTTGAAATAAATATTATATAAATTTAGATGAGACAACACTGCTATAGCAGAGAAGGCCAGTCTGCAGTTTTAAAACCGAAATGACAGGAGAAGAAAGGTAGCAATTTATGGAAAAACAAAGCTTGAGTATGTGTCTTGAGTATGTCTCCAGTTTTTAAAAAAGCACTATCTAGGCAAAATAATTACGGTATGCATACAGCTTTACATTTTTAATCCGTTGTTTCATTTTCTATCTGGACAGTACATATGGAAATCTTTAGCAGAGAAGATACTGGCCACATTGCAGAACATAATGTACTTTGGGACATGAACTTCACTCAGCCTTTCATTATCATGATGCTAATCTACTTCGGTTATTTACGTCACCCACTTTGCATTACAAAACAGTAATTTAGTGGTTACAATATTCTTATTTTTATTGATGATAAAGAGAAAGCCATGCAAGTGACAGTTTTTGGGTGTAATAACTTGCATAGGCTCTGTAATTGATGAGTCTCTTATGAGAAGGGTCTGTTTTCACAGTATTCATTATACACATCATCAAATTTGCACAGCTAACACCAGGATGATGTACAGATCAGCATGCACATATTATTCTGCTCATGTCCCTGCATGTGAAGCAGAAACTAAATTTGTGGTTGCAGTTCTTTTACTCAATAATTCTCTGACCTTCCAGAAACTACGTAAAGTGTCTGAGCCTCAGGATTTTGGTATGAAATATTAGGATAATAGTACCAGCCCTGCCTGTTTCACAGAGTAGATGACTGGCTTAAGTATTTTAGCAGATGTGGAAAACTCATATTTGCTATTGCTATTCTTCCTCCCTGTAGTATTTAGATGATATTTAGTTTCCTCTGTGTCTTTCCCTTCCTCCTGTCTTCCTGCATTTATAGATATTTTTGCATGGTAACAACCTGAACAGTCTACACCAACTAATTCATCCTGAGATCCTGCCCTCTGAGTTTGGAGGAATGCTGCCTCCTTATGACATGGGGACATGGGCAAGAACGCTGCTAGACCATGAGTATGACGATGACAGCGAATACAATGTAGACTCCTACAGCATGCCTGTGAAGGAAGTAGACAAGGAACTCTCCCCCAAGTCCATGAAGAGGTATGCTGGAGGTAGCCTGGGAGTGGGCTGGGGCCAGGGCAAGGAGAGGCAACCTGAGTCACCTCTAAGCTTTCTAGTTTTTTGTATATTTTTTTCTGGTGTGATTTTTAAACTCTGTATGCCCGATGATTGATGTCTGAGTTCTGAATCAAAGATAAAGTCCTTTTCTTACAGTGAAAACATTTAAAATTTATTCTCTTGGCAATTTTCAAATATATAATATATTATTATTATATATTTGAAAACTATAGTAACCCTGATGTATGATAGATTTCCCAAGCTTATTCTTCCTAATTAAAACTTTGTACTTTTTGATGAATATCTACCCATCTACCCCCAACCCACCTGCCTCTTCCCTGTGCTTGGTAACCACCATTCTACTCTCTACTTATATGAGTTTGACTTTTTTAGATTCCACATGTAAGTGAAATCATGCAGTATTTTCCCATCGTATTGTATTCCATAAATATATGCAATTATTTGTCAGTTAAGAAAAAGATAAAGTAATTCGAGATAATCTAAACTTAGTGTTTTTCCCAATTCACAGACAGTCTAGCAGCGTCCTTGGAAGTGACCAAATCTGGTGGTTTTCAAATTGTGTCCTGAGAAACCAAGGGTTTTGATGGAGTGCCTCAGGCCAAGTAGGTAGAGTAGAGAGAGTGCCCATTTCCACTGCAGTGAGAGCAACTCTCCTATCTAAGCAATTTACTGGAATTCTGTGTAAGATTTCTTTTGAAGAAAGCAACGATGCACACAAACATATCAGTTCAAACACTGTATTCAATAAAGTTTGTGGTCCTTTTTCAATATATCTGCCAAGTCTTTGTCTAAAGATCTAAACATTAGTGGTACAAAACATTGTGTTTGCCTTCAGTTTTAATCTTTATAAATTTCATTGCTGAGTCAGAGTTCAAATACCTGCTTTGACTCTCACAGCACTTTTATGCCTTTTTTCTTTCAATCAATAATCTGGGGAGTTGTCAGCATGCACAAATGCATCCCTGGCCTTGAGCTTGCATTCTGTTGCAAACAAGTAGATGTATAATTCTCAGACTTCCCAGGCAACAGCAGCCCGGGGTCCATTTGGATAACAGTAACAAATATTACTTCTCTGGTTCATTTTGCATTCACAGAAATATGGGCACCACAGCCCCCGCAAGTGTCTCCACACCTAGCTTAGGGAAGATGCAAGGACGTTGAATAGGTCATGCCAATGTCTGGCATCCTTCTCCGATGTAAGCCTTAAGGTCCTATCCTCCTAACTCTGACTCATGGAGTAATGTGGTTGTTCTTTAAGGATGCTTTGTTTTATGCTGCTGCCTCTGTGGTGATTGTTGTTAGTATGTGTGTGCGATCATTTTCTCTCTCCAGGCTGATGCACAAGTCCTTGGAGAGAATGGAAAGGCCAGGAACTTTCCTTGCTCGAATTTCCCGCTAGTTAGCAAGTTTATATTTAAACCAACTTTAGGCTTCTTAACTACCTTCTTTTAGAACAGAACTTCTTGAGATCTCTGCTCTCCTAAGGGGTTCACGGATGGGCTCTCAAAGGATTCTGTTAGGTGCTATAAGTTGTATGCAAAATTTTGTGTGCATAAGTATGAATGTATATATATGTCATGCATTTATTTTCCGGGGAGAAGGCATATATTTCATCAAATTATTTAAAAGTTTTTAAAAGCAAAAGTGGTTAAAAGCAACTTCCCCTAAAAGTAGTTTTCTTCTAATAAAATAATAATCCTAATGATAATAGTTGTTATTATCTATCATTTACTAGGTACTCATCATGAGTTAGGTCCTTACTAGGTGCCTTGTTTTGCATTAATTTATTGAATCCTCACAGCAACCCTTTAAACGGCTATTGCATCCTCAATGTTAGCTAGTCTATATGTAGCAGAGCAGGGCTCCAGTGCATGAGGTTTGGAGTCCTTCACATCACTGACATAAAGCCTGCCTACTCTTGATGGCACAGAGCCCCTCTCTCAAGAGCTGAACTACATAAGGGTTTGGTGGCAGCTGTCATCGGTGTCCACTAGTGTTCTTCTTTGTCAGTTAATGAGGCCCTTTTCCTTCAGCCATTCCACCTGAGGCATGATTGCTCATGTGGCCCCATCATGTGAGCACATTTTTCTCTTTAACTTTTACACATCACCTGCACTCTGCTCAGCTGCACCCACCCCCTAAAAAACTTTTAACTGCTCTCATTGATTCCAGCCTTACCTGCTCCCCTATCCCCAATTTATTATCCACATGGCAATCCAAAAATCTTCTAAAAATATAAATCAGATCCATTTCACATCTTGGTTTTATTTTATTTTTTTGAGGCAGGTTCTCACTTTGTTGCCCAGGCTGGAGTGCAGTGGGGTGATCATATCTCACGACACCCTCAACCTCCCCAGGCTCAAGCACTGGTCCCACCTCAGTCCCCCAAGTAGCTGAGACTACAAGTGCCTGTCACCACGTCCGGCTAATTTTTGAAGTTTCTTTTATAGAGACCAGGTGTCACTATGTTGCCCAGACTGGCGTCAAACTCCTGGCCTCAAGTGATGCAGTTGCCTCGGCCTCTCAAAGCCGAGGGATTACAGGCGTGAGCCCTGAGATTACAGGTATAAGCCACTGTGCAGGCCTTGGCTTTATATTTTTAATGACTGCTATTTATGCAATAAATAGAATCACCTCCTTATCATGGCTTACAAGGTGCTACCTTGTCTGACCCTGCCTCCCTGTCTCCTCCAGGTATATCCTATTTTCTTCCTCTTCCCCTGCTTTTCAGACACAATAGTCTCTTTGTCCCTTGTCACTGCCACCTGGAATGCTCTTTTCCTTCATCTTCAAATGGCTGGTCCCAATCAAAGGTCAGCTTCTCAATAGAGAGTCTTTTGATCTTTGTCACTCACCTGGTCTTAGTCAGTTCTGCTTTCTCCTCATTCTGGTCACTCCCTGTCCATCACCTTTCTTTATTTTATTCTCTTCATGGCACTTTTAGTCTGTGAAATAGCTGATTTTATTTAATTTTATATCCAATCCCCACCCCAAAGTAAGCTTCATGGAGACCATATTGACTGTGTTTACCCTGTTCTCTGAATCTCCGGTGCCTGGAGAAGGTCCTGGAACAACAGAGGGTGCTCAGCACTTACTAGTTGAATGCATGGAAGAGTGTGCTCTGCTGTCCATCACTAGTCCCCTTTAAGTGCAGTATTCATAACTGAATAGGAGACATCTGACCCGGTGTTAGTACTTGCGTTTACGTTGCAGAGTTCTGGCTTTGCAGGGTAGACCTCAGTGGCTTCTTTGGGTTCCTCTTGTTGTCACTGTTGCTATTGTTCAGGCAGCCAAAGCTGACTCATATGGGGCTTCCTAAAACTGGAAAGTCTCTTTACTTACCAATCCATGTCCTCCTATAGTTTAGCTTTGTCCTCCGTTAACATTGTTTTAATTGAGTAAAGCCCGTCTTGTTAAGAGTTAGCCCAATCTATTCACTGTTTGTATACTGATTCTCTTCTCCAGGTAATTAGGCCATTTCCCACCCTGAGCACTTTGCTTATAGCCCATTAACGGCCCCAATCCTGAGTTTCTTGCTTGTGTCATGGGCTGATTAGAATTTTAGGCATTGTTTGGTGTATGTTTGGTATTGTATGAAATATTTATGATTCTATTGGAAAACTCCTGAAGAATGAGACTAAGAAAGATGTTGCAGTTGATTCTCGTGTTCTGTTTGTCAGCGAATGGCAGTTCGCCATCAAGGAAAAGAGAAGATTGCTCCTGTGTTCCATGCTGATTCCCCTTGGCCTTTCTCCTTTTTGTAGTTTTATGCTATCTTTAGATTAAGAGGGAGAAAATCATTCAATCACCAAAAAGCTGTCAATAATTCTTCTTTTGAGTAGATGTAGCTAGATGTCTAAGAAGATGACTTTGTCTCTTGGCATAAATTTATGGAGGAATGGCATAGTCATGTGCAAAGACACAAAGTTCACCAGACTGAGTATTTTAGAACTGGAGAATGTCTTTTACCTTATGTTGCCAATGCCTATGATAGTGCCTGGCACATAACAGTAGTGAGTAACAGTACTTATTTTCATGATATGCACTTCTGATTATTGAATATTGAATATATTATTATTGAATAATGTTAAGCATTTATTGTTAGTCTGTGCCAAACCCTGTTCCAATGCTCTGTATATGTTGACTCATTTGCTTCTTAAAGCGACTAATAAAGTAGTAGTATCCACATTTTATTGATAGAGAGACTGAGAAACAGGAAAGATAAGTGACATAACTACAAAGTAGTGATGTTAATATCTGTACATAGGCAATAGTATTCCAGAGCCATTTTCTTAACCATATGCCAGAATTTGTGCCAGAGTTTATAGATGCATTGTTGCCTCTGATCCTCACAATAACTGTATAATGTGGGTGTTATTTTCCCCATTTTACAAAAATTGAGAACAAAATTTTAGGGAGTTTAGCCTTCTCATGTTCATACAGCTAGCAAATTGCTATTATTAACAACTGCAGTTATGATCCACTTCTGTCCGATATCTAGTTTCTTAAACACTGTGTATTGTAGATGCATGAGAAATGAGTATTGGATACCTAAATCTAAATTACTGGTTTTCAAGAAAGAAAGAAAAGTTATTCATTGTGAAAACAATAGAAGCTGTGCAGAAACTCCTGAGATGGGCTGGGCATGGTGGCCCATGCCTGTAATCCCAGCACTTTGGGAGGCTGAGAAGGAAGGATCACTTGAGGTCAGGAGATTGAGACCAGCCTTGCCAACATGGTGAAACATCACCTCTACTAAAAATACAAAAATTAGCCAGGCGTGATGGTGCATGCTTGTAATCCTGGCTACTTGGGGGAGGCCAAGGTGGGAGGATCGCTTGAAGGAGGCGGAGGTTGCAGTGAGCTGAGATGGCTCCTCTTCACTCCAGCCTGGATGACATAGTGAGCCTTTGGCTCAAGCAAAACCAAACCAAAACAAACAAAAAAACCCAGAAACCTCTGAGATGTATGAGTTAATCACAGATATCTCTCCCTACTGTGGCTGGAATAAATAAATTCATTAACACTTCTGATTCTGCACAAATAATCCTGTTCTGTCATAAAAGAGAGTAAAAAAAATTGGACTAAAATAACTATACACTTGGTACAACTAAATACCAAAAAGAAAAAAAATTAATTATAAATTGTTTCTGACTCACTTTTGTTCTGTGATTGAGGAATTGTTCGACATATGGAACCAGCATTCATCATCCAACAATCTTCATATCTGTAATGCATGATAAAAGCAAACTAGAAACTTAATCTTAGGTTGAACAGTATACTGTAATTTAAAATATTTTGTTAAAAATGTCATATTCTCTAATATTTTTTCAAAAACAGCCCTGAAACACACAGACTTAGAATGTGTATATGTGTGCATGTCTGTATAATGTGTAAGAGAATATTATGGCAGATGCTTAAATTTTGTGCCTTGTACTGTCTGAAGAGCATTGGTATATACTTATAGAATATTATTAGGATATATCTTAACAATTTACATAATCGATTTAATTTTGTGAACATTTTAAAATTTATTTTCTATAAAGAAAATAGAATTGCTTTCTCTATTATTCTCATTACTCTTCATTTTGAGTGCTTCATACTGAAGTTCTTTCAATAGGGAAATTGTTTACTGGCTAGAAGTCCAGACATGAAGACTTTACTCTTTTCCAAGCCATATGATGCACGTTGTTTTCACAATAAGAAAAGAAACTGATAAAGTCCCTGCTTATGGAACTTGCAGTCTAGTGCATGTCAGTTGTCAAGTTAATACTTTAGCACAGGACATTAAATGAGCCTCTTTCTCTTTTAACATGGATTCATCTGAGAGCCAATTTGCTTAGTTGGGTCTTACCTAAAAACAAGTTAAAAGTCTAATTACTTAGTGTTTTGTTCAGTTGTCTGCTTTGTTAAAAAGTATTTTATTTGCTTTAAATAAAGATGGTTATGTATTATTGCATAATGACACAAAATCTCTCTTCTCTCTGTTCTCCTTGTTGCCTTCTTTTCCTCATCCTATTCTGTCTGTTTTATACACACACGCACAACTTTAGTCAGGCTTTTTTCTGTTATAGGCATCTAATGCCCATTTAACATTGAGATAAAATAGTGTAAATGATACTTAGGGAACAAAATCTCTCAATATTTTAATGCTTTCACCTTCATTTTCATTCCATCTTTGGAAAATAATTTGTTTATTTAAATTGAGACAGTTTATCAGTTAATTCTGTAATTATTTTTACTTTGATAATTAGTTCCGTTGCTGTTCTTTTTCATTTGCATGTGCAGTTGTGTTTTAGCTTATAGTCTTTTCAGCAGTTAATGAGGTCTGCTAAGAGGCATATTGCCACAGCAAAAGCCAATTGGCTGGAATGCAGCAGCAGGGGAAGAATTCATTACCAAGGAGAATTCTAAAAGGGCAGCTGCTTCCTAAATGCTATAGCTATTAAGATGGCAGCTTCCTGCCATGACAGGAGCATGTTTCATTGATTTTCCTCTTTTCAACTCTCATGTGGTTTCCTAATGATAAATTGAGATATAATCCCCACCTGCTATCAAAGTCATGTATAAGTGGGTTTTCAAACTATGTGCTTTCCCAATCATAACGTATTGTGGCCTAAACAAGAGGGGTTTTTACTTTTTAAAATTCTAGAACTGTTCCATGAAACTTTCAAGATTAAGGTTGATTTTATTTGGATATTCTACTAGGAAATTTAATAAAAACATTCAAATTTTGATCTTTTTGTTGATACGATCATTCAAGCTAAAAAATGACGGTCTGAAGAAAAAAAAGGTGCATTTTTGTTGCATTTTTTTTCATAGATTTTTTTAAAGACTGGAATTAAGCCTCCTGTTATTTCTTTTTAATTTATCATAATAATCATTTCACTGTATTTTTTTTCATTTGGAGATGTTTTATTGGAAAACATCTATCCTACACTAGAAATTTTTGATATCTCAAAGAAAAGAATCTTGCTCAACTATGAAGAGCTCTTAAGCCTAGTATTGTCTATTCAGAACCATTGGTGACTCACTATTCTAGTTAGAGGCCAGAGAGGATTGTTTCCTCACTCCAGTGCAAAACATCACCAGCAGCAGTTTATCTTTAAATGTGCAACATCCACAGTTCATAAATTCCTTGATATAGAGGAAGGGAATCCACATTCTCGGGAGAAGCAATGACAAAAAGACAGAGGAGGGAATGTCATCTGCGCAATTATCTGGTAATAACTCACTGATGTTGGCTTTATCCTTTCCAGATCCCAATCAGTAGTGGATCCTACAGTACTAAAACGCATGGATAAAAATGAGGAAGAAAACATGCAACCTTTGCTTTCTCTGGACTAATAACTTCTCTACATCCGCTTCACGGATTAGAAATTGAAAGTATTGGTTTTCAGCAACAGGGACAGCACTGTGGAGGAATTACCAGCTGGAAACTGACTTATTCATGTTAATGTAGCATAATATATAATAAGGCATCAGGCTTTCCTTGGCCTGAACCATGGGGGCCCTGAGCTGGATTTTAAAAATGTCAATAATTTATTCTGTAAGTGCCAAGTTCTTTGTAAATATAATGTAATCTTCATGTCAAGTTTGTAAATTTCGCTAGTAACTCAGTTTGGAAAAAGGTTGGCTCAAAACTCCATGCCAGTAATATGAACTATAACAAAAAGCAGAAAAGACACAATCAAAGCGAATTAAATGTAGCCCTCTTTCCTATGAAGCCATATTTCAGCTATCATAGTGATTGCTTCATTGTTTTTCTCTGAAACTCTGTCAGTATTCAAGCATACTTTTAATGGGCACACACAACTAAATGATTCTCGGAAATTTCATGATTAATGTATTTCCTGTCTAGTGATTTTCATTTCAGAGAAATGTGTCTTAGTAACTATTATTGGACTTGCATTTTGGAGGCAAGGAATGGCAGATGAGCTGGTAAACTGAACACTTGAACTCTTCTATGTTGTTTAATTCCTGGAATCTTGTGAAAAGATGTGTTTCCTCAGTTAAGACATAGAATTGTAAGAGAGTGGATTCTTTTTAAATTGCTGTCTTCACAATGTGACCTTTATTCAAGACCCCATTATATTTCTCTCTAATGTACTCTAAGTACATTTCTTCCCCCCAAAGCTCTTTGACCAAGAGACTGAGAACTTATATGTGAATAGTGTTTTGACAGCTAATTTTGAACATAAAATTTTCAGCTTACAGGTAAGGGGCTAATTTCTAATTGTTGTGCACTGGTTAAAACATATATATATTAACACATATATATTTTTACTGAGCTCTAATAAATCCTTGATGTAACAGGATTATAAAATAAATCATAGATATTCAATGATCTTCAAGATGTTATAGATAATTACATGAGATAACTGGAAAACTATTCCACTGAAGTTAATGAAAATGAGAAATAGTGAAACTGATTTTCAGTGTACCTATTTAAGGGAATTCCAATTTAATATATAATGCAATCTTAAATATGTGCCATCTTATTTGAACTATATTTTTCTTTCAAAGAAGCAACAGATTTCAACATAGCGTAGAGTAGCATCAGGTGACAGCCAATTTTATTTTTCAAATTTAAGTTAATTATCTTTGTGATCCGATTTGTCCACAAATTTTTTCAGAAAAGGCTGAAAAAACACATTTAGTCAGGAGACATAATGAAATCATCTGAAGACATCTAAGACAGCATGCAATAGTTTATACATGGATTTAGAAATTTGCATATTTAATGTTTTATTTTATAAAATTCATACAATTACAGCAAATTTTATAAAACTTTTATTCTAAATTTCAATGTGAAAAAAAGATTTTTATCACCCATAATAAATTTTGAGATTGAGAGTATATCTTTAAAATATTCTTTTGGAAGAAAAATATCTCCAGAAACTCTTGGAAACCAACAAAAATAAAGGCATGTGGCAGCCTTCACACTTTTGAGCCAAAAGCTTCCAAAATTTCTTAGAATTCTACAGCCAAAAATTGTAAAAGCAAGCTAAGTACATCAGTGTACAGTGTATCAATGGACGGCCTCCTGTGTGTAAAAGTACATTATTTAACACAAATGAAAGACCTTAATAATGCCAACCTCCAGTCATGTGCAGAAGAATAATGAGTGTCAGTTACTCTGCTCTCCTTGTTACTTTTACAGAGATTGGGATGCACTGGGTACATGTCTGAGCAGTTCTTACCTTTGTGAGAATTCTAACCATTGATATTCTTATATTCTTGCCTACCTGACATACATTTTGTAGCCATGGGCTTTATAGACTATATAAACCTTATGCAGTATAATCTATTGGAATAAAATAGAAACATTGTAAGTGCAGAGGGCAGAAAACATTTTATTCTCATGAATTTCTCTTGATGTGTACCATTTATTGCCAGTTTTCAGAATTCTGCCAGTTTCCAGAATTCTGCCAGTTTCAGATGTCAACCAGCATTGGCAGCTTCTTTCTCCTATCGTAAAATTAGTATCATATATAAAAATAACTAGAAAGGCATATTTTATATGTATGCCTATCTAATTATAAGTATCATTCACACTGTCTCCTGGACCCACATTTGGAAAGTTTGCATTGCATTACTGCTCATCTTTAAATGAGCAATTGAGAGTTGGCTAGATTGTGTAAAATATTTTAAAATGAATGAACAAATTACAATGATGATGCCTTTTGAAATTACCATATCTTGTTCACTCTGTGACTAAACTCATTTTCTAGTAATGTTTGTGAACCTCAGTCAAGGGATATTCATTCAACTTTATAAATTTACCCCTCAGCACCAGGTATCTAGCACTGTTTAGGACTGTTCCCCTTCATGATATTCTGTGTCACATAGCTATGTCTATTGTTCTGTAATCTATACCCTATAGTTGTATACTTATAAGCAGTCCTATATCCTTTTATTTTAATTGCAATAGTGTACCTCCACTCACTGCCTCTCTCTCACACACACACTCTTATACACACACTAACTCACTAGACTGTTTGCTCTAATTAATTTGCATCTGTACTTTGAGAGGGATTTTAGTTGTCTTGTCACTTGAAATCTGTGGGCTTCAAAGAATTACCATATTTGACTTGGAATAGGCCAGTAGTCCATTTTTATTTTCCTCTGCCTGTTCCATCTTCTATTTCTGGTATCTTTTTTTTCTTCCAGTTATTTCAGGGGCAGCTGCTTCCAAAGCTGGTTTAAAAATAAATAACATCTCTTACCACGTTGTCAGTGACATTTGCCTGCATTTTTGACTACTATTTAAGAAGGAAGAGATTATCATGAAAATATACTCTAAGAAATATGAAGAAGTGCCTCTTTGAGAATGGAATAAAGCAGTGATACTGGCATATGGATTTTATTTGTACTCTCTTCCAAAAAGTAAATACATAAATCTATATTATAAAGGTGAAATATTTGAAGGATATTTGAGGCCTTTATTTGAGTATTCTCATACAGTATTAGGTCTCTGTTGTGTAAGTAAAATACACTTTAACACATGTTAATGATAAACCTGGCACTATGCTAAAACAATGTACAAGTATTAAACAGTTTTGCAAGCAAGTTTTTGAAGTGGGCATGCATGATTTATTTTATTTCAGTAATGGTTTGCATAAGTATAAACAGAGATATTTCCTAAGTTTTTCATATAGAATACTTATTTACTTTACAGTACCAGTAATTCATACATTCATAAGCAGGAAAGCCAAAAATTCATACATTCATACCTAGCTTCTTTTAATAGTGTTAACAAGGTCATATTGTTAAATGAGAAGTTTCTGTAATATACTCGAGGGAACAGAAGTCCTATTGTACCAAGAAATTGGAGAGTTGTTTTAGATGTTGGGGAATATATTTATGACTCTTTACAAAAAGAAACCTTCAGAGCCATAGAGTATGTCTTCAGGGATAGGCTTCCTTTGCTTCTATAATGTAAAGGTTTATGGACACGTCTGTTGTCCTTTAAAGAAGTTACATTAAGAAAGCTTGCTGAGAGACTGTACACTCTTCTGTTGTTTTATTTAAAGGTCTGCCTTGTGTGGTTAGTGAATAACATCTCAGCTTCTTTGTGTATATTCATTAATGATTACATGAAAAGTTGCCATCAGCCATGAAGACACTTCAGAAAGATTTTCAACACACAAAATAAAATGAGCAGAGCTCTAGCATGATATTTGAACTTTCAGATTTGGTATATGTACATTTTTTTACAACAATAAGCTCATAGGCATATATTCCATTTTAGATCTGCTATATAAATACATAGCCTGAAACATAGTAATGTGTTTGAAATTTGTGAGGTCACTAATCATACAAGAGGCAGATTATAAACCAATGTATTGAAACAAAAGAAGGTTGGTTAAATATGCAAGGTGTATAATTATCTTCAGTAATTAAAAGGGTTTGTTTTCTTGTTTTTGGTCTTTTGTTTTAGTTGAAAAAAATAGCTTCCCATATGCTACTGAAACTATTTGACATTATTTACTACATGAAAGGGAAAAATAAGTAAAAATACAAAAGAAGTTTGGCTTTGTAACATTATTATATTATGATGTTAATGGCTTAGAGAACATAGTCATATAATCTTTTTTAAGAATTAAAGTTTTTATTTTATAAATATTTAGAGGCTAACCTCAGACATGAAAATAGTGCTGTGGATTCTATTATGTACTAAATATGGGAATGAATTCCCTGGGACTATAGAAAAAAATATGAAATAACAACTTTGTGGATTGAAACACTCAAGTTAGACCTTTTTCAAAGAAGGAGGAGTGCAAGTGATACTATTGAAATAAAATTTTAGAAATCGATTAATTATAGGACTTAAATACAATCAATACAGCCATGGTAAATAGTGGAAATTGTTAAAATTTAGAAGGTGTTTTGTCAGTGTTTGACTTAGTTTCAAGTCTCAATGCAAATACTTCTGTCCTTGATAATATCAGTGAATTTATTCTGTAAGATTTGTTTTTTCCTAGTGAATGAGATGGCCCTGGGTGAAAATCAAAATAAATTTTAACAACAGCTTTAAGAGTCAGCCAATCCTCAGCTACTTAAAAAAAATTGCAATGAACTTTAATTCATTTACATTTAACAGAGATTCAAATCATTGTCTTGTTTCTAATCCTATTTTTCAGATTTTTGCATTTGCTTAAGTGATAAGTAAAACTCAGAAAACCAAATAGTTTTTGTTTTCAAAGCTTTTCAGGAAAAATAAAAGATGTCTAGAGGAAAAATACAAGTCCTTGAAGAATACTGAGCACATTATTTGCTATTTTGCTCCAATGTTATTAATTTTTACTACTACATACTATTTGTTTAGTACTACACAAAATTTGGCCTTTTGAAGGAGTTATAATTTCCAATAAGTATAGTATAATTTTTGGATAGGTATACATTTCTGTTTAAGAGAAATGTATACTTTAATTTTGTATATTTTATATTTTAAATGTATACATTTATTTTGCATATGGTTGATGTTGAATTTGGTAGTCCCAGATCTGCTGCATCTATAAAATGGAGATGTCTTTAAAAGGTTCTCTAAAAATTAACAATATTTTTATTTTGAGAGAACTTGTGCATAGCTATTTAAGTTAGGATTCCTCCAATTTTGTGATATTTGTATGTGTGGGGATCAAAGAGGAAAATATACAGTAGTTGTTTAATCAAAATGACATTCTGTATTCTATAACTCCTAGTCAAACTTTCAAAGGAAAGTTGGAAAGAAGTAAGCTAACATTTTAATTACATATAGCAATAAAATGATCAGTAAATAAAATAACTAGTGTTTTCACATTTACACATAAAATGGATTAGACAAGAGATTAAATTTAGAAATTTGAATTACAGGAAAGCATTGGTTTAAATAGATCCTCAAAAAAATAATCCCAGGTCAAAATGTGTTGTGAAATTAAAAAAAAGAATTCAGCCTGATTTGAGAAAGAATGCTTATTCACTAAATATACATTTGTGTCTTCGGTAAGTTTTTCTCATTTATCCTATCTGTGGATGAAAAGTTATCTAATAAGGTAAAAGAGACTCAATTACATTTACCCAGAACCATCTGTAAGTAGACTTCATTAATTTCTTTGGCCCAAACTCAGAGGATTTTCTTTACACAGGATCCTTGAGGTTATCCAGAATCATTATTGGTGCTCCCTCCTAAAGGCAGGCCAGGAGAACCATGATTCCAACAGTAGTATCCACGGTGGGAATGAACCCAGGCAACCAAAAAACACAGGAAAAGCCATTGTTTTCACTCTGGTTGCCAAAAAGTGTGTTCCTTCTTCAGGATGACCGAGGAGAAAATATTTTTAATTATAAGCAGAAAGCTATTTCAAAATGTCAAGAGTTTCTAATATCAACGGTTAAATACTTGACAAGTGAAAAGAGGTCATGGGGAAGTGATGGTCAAATCTCTGTTGTGAAGCGAGCTTCCACACAGCAACATCATCAAAAACTCGTGCCTCTGAGGATTACTTGTTTCTCTAAAAATAAAATTAAATATGCTGTTTTGTTCCCTTTTTTTTTCTAATTGGCATCAAGAAAGTATCAGACAGGAGCCACAAATACTTTGTTGTCATTTAAGAAAAAAATGCTATATTATACATATATAAATATAATTCACTTAGTTGCATATGATTGAAATATTTGCATGCTTGTTTATAAATTATTGCCTAAAAGTTTTATGAAATATAATTATAAAGTTTTAGTGCTAGAAAATTGTGTTCTTTGTGTCTTGGATTCATGGGGAAGACTGGTAATATCCCTTATTCGTCATTCATATAGCTAACAATTTTAATCGGATGGCTAATGGATATGTGAATTTAACATTTATAAAACCAAACTTTGGTCTCGCTCTGACCCTGCTTCCCCTTTAGCCTTCTCATCTCGCTCGGTGTCAACCCCAATCTTCCAGTTTCTAGGAATAAAAATTTTGAAGTCATCCTCTCTTTCCGTCCTCTTTTTCTCTCAAAACTACATCTAATCAGCTAGCTCATGCTGTTGGCTCTTTAAAATGTATCCAACTCTAACCACTTCTCTAATCTTCATCATCACTGTATTAGCCCAAGTCTTCAACATTTTAAATCTGGAATATTTTAATAATCTAAAAAATCGTCTCCTTGTTTCTAGAGTTGACTTTCAACACATTAGCAAGAGTGAGTCTCTTAAAATGTAGCTCAGATAATTTTGTTCTCAAAATCCTCTGAAACAGTAAAAGCCAATGTCTTTATAACAGGGTATGAGAAGTGTTGATATGAAGGCAGTAAGCATCAGTATAGCAGCATACCATGGTTTCTGAGTGGTCTGGCATTTTTGCCGATATTGTGCAAATATAGTTGTAAAATACTTAAATTTCTTGCTTTTGAAGTTCTCTACCCCATTCTTGACTTTCCTTAGATAATCTCTTAAGAATCGCTCCTTTATCTGCTGCTGCCAAACTGTCATCTTTGCTGTTCCAGCGACTTGCCAAGCATGCCTCTACCTCAGGACTTTGGCATTTCGGTTTCCTTTGCCTCTTTCTTTCAGATAGTCTCATGGTTTATTCTCTCATCTCCTTCAGGTCTTTGCTCAAATGTCATCTTTATGAGGACTCTCTTTCCCAATTTTAGATGAAACAGCCCATGGTTCTTCACATTCTCCTTTTCTGCTGTATTTCCTCTCCATAGCATTTATCATCTGATACACCACACAGCCTATTTATTTACTTCATATTTTCCCCCAATAGCAATGTGAACTCCACAAGGGCAGGGATTTCTGTCTGTCTGTTCACTATTGCATTACTGGTGCCTTGAACAGTGCCCAGGACTTAGCAAATCCAAAATGATTTTATGAAGGTCCTAATTTGTTTCAGTAAGTTACATAACACCCAATAGTATGCATTAAAGGATAGTTTCTTGTTTTCTTAATTTAAAAAATCTTGTTATCTTCCTCCCATGATGATGGAATCATGAATCAAAAATGATATCCTCCTCTTCTCAATTGTGGTCTCTATTCCTGAGCCTAAGTTTTACATCAGTGTTTCAGTTTTGTCTTCAGAAGTTACTCCAGGGTCACTGGACCCTATATGTATCCACATGGCTTACTCTTGGAGAGACTACAAGATAGCTCAGGTGAAAAGTCATTTTAAGATTAAAACTATAGGGAATTGTTCTTTATTCATTATCATAGTTAATTCCAGTTTTTAAAAAATTGCAGGGAGTTAAAATGACCATAATTTCAGCATTGGAAGCCAGTTTAAGAGAATATGACGATGTAGTTACTTTTTATTTTTTCCCCCCATTTATTTATTTTATTGCATTTTAGGTTTTGGGGTACATGTGAAGAACATGCAAAATTGTTGCATAGGTACACACGTGGCAGTGTGATTTGCTGCCTTCCTCCCCATCACCTACATCTGGCATTTCTCCCCTTGCTATCTCTCCCCAGCTCCCCACCCCCCACCGTCCCTCCCCTATTTCCCCCCAACTGACCCCAGTGTGTAGTGCTCCCCTCCCTGTGTCCATGTGTTCTCATTGTTCAACACCCGCCTATGAGTGAGAACTGACAGAATAGTAGTTACTTTTAATGGAAAAAAGAATAGGAGAAAAAAGGGAAGAAATCATGTTTGTACCTTCTCTGCAACAATTATAAAATGAATGAGGAAGTATTTTGGTGTTTCTAAGGTCTTTACATGATCTGGAAATCTATATATTATAGTCATTTAGTCTGTGAACACTTTTAACAGTTGGATTTCATGTTACGTATCTTTAAATTTTTATGATGAAAATTTATAGCTGTGACACAAGATAACAGAAATTGCTCATGCTCACATATATTTGAACTGGCTTTTCAACTTGCTCCCTTCTCTTTATTTTAATTCTAGCAATCATTTTAGAGCCTTACAGTCACAATTCTTCTTAACTATCCCCAATTTTTATTTCCTTTTGGACTGACTTCTCCATAATTTTAGTAACTAAATGTCCTAGATATTGGTTCTTGGTGTGATAGGTATCTGATTTTTATCCTTTGCAGTTTAACTTTTAAGCCTTGCCAAACACATGTTATTCCTTTTCCTTGGCTATATTGTTGTGCCTTTCCCAACACTGTAATAATTTAAGCCTCCTGTTTTATAATCTCCTACCAGAACCTCTATTAAGAAGACATCGAATTTAAAGGATCAGCAGGTGATGTTGAAGAAGAAATATAACCTGAAGAATAAGGATAGATGTTTGAAAATGTGTCAGAAGTTATCCAGTTTTTTAGTGGCTTTGTGATGGGTAGGGGTTTTGTTCCGCTTTGTGTGCTGTTTATGACATTGTTAAGCAATATAGATCATGTTTCTTGTCAGTTACACAAGGATATGGTAATCAGGGTTAACAGTTTGGAAAACATTCTCTAGAGAAGAGACTAATGATTCTTGCTCACAAACAAGGGAGAATTTCCTTACATTTCTTAATCTTTGATCCTTGATAGTCTGTACAGTGAAACCACTTTCCTCTGTGACATCCTTTTTTGCCAACCTTTATGAATATGTTTAGCATCACTTCAAACATAGAGTTCAAGCTCAAGTATACACAGCACATGAAAGATACTATAGTTCATGTTCTCTTAGGTTGAATTTTCTTTGTATAATTTTTTATAATTGAATCCTAAGGGTATGTTCCTTGGTAAATTGTATTAATTATAATCCATTTTATAATGGATTTAATAACTTTACAAATCATATCATTGTTATATTCTGAAAACCATTATATTAATATTTTATTTCCTTTTTTAAAGAGAAACTGTCTTTTTTGATTTCTGAGGATGAATGAAATACTGTTAAATAAAATGTCACTAAATGAAATTTCAGATTCAGAAATGTGGGTGCATGTATATGCCCTTTCAGTTTTTTCATCATTAACTAAATTTCTGTAAATTTTAAAAAAGTCACATAAAATGCTATGAAGAAATTTGTCATTAAAATATGGAGACATTTGAATTTGGTGCTAGAATTTGGAAGTATAAAATGCTTTAAAAACTGACTTTAAACGTATATGGCTATATTGTAATGGTATTTTGAATTTATTGTTGATTTGATCAAATATATTTGATACATTGGTATTATTTCGAAGTCACTAGAACTTCCTGACTTATAGAATGATAGAATGGATATACAAGAAATTGTCAATTATATATAAAATCTTCCTTTTAAAGCAGTGGACTGGATTGAATGATGATTTCAGTTAATTTCATTTTTTACACTAACACATTTACTGAGCATTTACCTGTGTTCTGTATACTGGGGTATAGAAATAAACAAAACAAAGCCTTTGCCCTTCTGAAAGTCACACTCTAGTGGAGACAACATATAAAAAGCCAGTAAGTGTTGCAAATGCAATGAAGACTTACCAGTTTAATTGTGTGACCTCCATCACACTGTTTTCTCATCAGTAAAATAGGGCAATAATTGTACTAACAATATGAACTAAGCTTTCCTATGTATCCTCTTGAAAACTTGGTTCCTTCCTTTTCATGGAAAACCCCAATATAATCTTCCCTTATCCATGCTATTTTGAGGATGGCTTTAGGGTCCTGTGGTTTCTGTCTTTCTGCTCATAGGTGGCAGTACTTGCCAGGGCTGTAGATGCTCAGGGCAAATGCATCTCTTAATCAGTGCTTTTCCGGGTCATTCAGAGGTGCTGGCTCCTGCAGAGTTTTCTCTCTCTTAAGGTAAATTCCATACTCCTTTGCTTCATTATAACTGAAAAATAAACATTGATTTGCCCTCAGAAGACAAAAAAAACCCAAAAGATTTAAGAATTCTGAAAATTGCACAATTCACTCTTTCTACTTAATTTGTTATTCTCCCTTACCCACAGACAGAACCACAACTCCTGGTTTCCACTGATGGGCTTGGGTATGCTGTATGTAATAGAGCTGATGGAAGGCCCAACCATTGTGGTTTCAGAAGTGCTAATTTAGGTAGTATTAAAAGGATCATCATTTTGGCTGGTATGTAAAATGTAATGAAAACTTTTGCTTTTTGTATGATGATCATACTATAAAACATCTTGAAAAAGCCATAAGAAAGTTTCAAAGTATGGGCAGAATACAGAAATACCATGAGTACTGATTATACTCATCAAGGAGGAGCCATGAGTAAACAAAAGTTTCTCTTATGAAAAAAACGGTAACAACCAGCAAATGATATTTGTCTTAAGGAAACAGATGTCTATTTCTGTTCATATCAAAATATTACTATAGGAGAGTTTCTATGTTAGTGCAGGCTGGATGCCATGTTAATTAACGAACACAAAATTGATTATTCTTTCATGTGATTTTCATAAAGCAATATTTCAGGAGATCAATGATTGATACACTAGATTTTTGATGGAGAAAAATGATGGAGAAAAATCAGAGCATCTATTATGATCATAGTAAAGAATTCTATTTTTGGAGGCAGGAGGTATACACACCTTTCAGACTGCCTTTAAAAAAAAATAAAACTGTTTTTTCTTTATGAAGTCTTTATAAGCTTATTTCCATCA